AAAAATGAAAAATAACTAGAGGGGAGAAAGAATAGTAAAGAAAAAATGAAAAAGGAAAAGAAGGAGAGGGAAAAAAGAAAAGTAGGGGTAATAAGGAAACAAACAAACAAAAAAATAAAACAAGGAAAGATTATCAAAATAAAAGAAAAAAAGGAAAGGAGAAAATTGGAGGGGTGGGTGGCTAGGGCACCTAGATAGTGCTTCTGTTGCTGGAGGAAGTGTGCATGGTGGGTATGGTGGAGTATAAGGGGAGCAGAGCAGTGGGGACAGGTTTCATGCTCTGCTTGTTGAGTATTCCATGGGAGCATAGCTAGTCCTAGAAGGAGTTCCACCTAGCCTAGAGGGGTTGGAGTAGGATGAGTGGTTCCTGAAGGAGTTCCTACCTGCCCAGAGGGGAGAGCATATTCCTCCAAATACACAGGGGGGTGTACCTCTGACCTTAGGCAGAGGAGGGGCTGAATACAGGGGCTGTGTTAACTTATCATTGCATGGATTGGGGTGGCGACTGGTCACTTGGAGGGGAAGATCGGAACCTTCCTGGTTGTCTTCTACTGGTGTAGGTGCTGGAGCTACCCGGATTGGCATGCTGCTTGTAAACATTTTAAGTGGTCATAATATATTAGACCAGCTGGCAGTTCACTTTTCTGTTTGTCTACTTGTTTGCTGTTTTTATTCCGTTTCTTTGTCTCATTAGTATCCACTTCATTTATCTTTTCCTTTGAATCACAGGATTCTATAATTACCGCCCATCTCTGTTTCAACTGGTTTCTCTTTGTTGTAGAGTCTGTGTAGCTTGTCTGCCCTAGTCTGCCATCTTGCTAGAAGTCTGCTAGTCCATTTCTTTTCCTTCCAAAATTCTGCTGCCATCTCCTCTTCTGTTTTTCTTGATTTTACTTGTGCATGTCATCAAATAATCTATATAGTATAGTTTTAGTGGAATTTATGGCAGAAATAACTGGAAGTCAAGAATTCTAGTATTGCTGTTATCATTTAAAAGTCTTTTAAGAACATTAAAATGTTTTAGGAATGTGGAATCATTCAGGCTATTTTGAGTAGAAACAGGTTGAAAATATGGAATTAGGTGTTAACAAAAGGGTAGAAAGTAATGCCTACTACTTTTGTTGTAAAAGTGGACTGATCACATCAAGTCTCTTGACACCGATGATGCACTGAAATAGTGCCAGGAAAACCCCATTTCTCTGTGGTTGTGGCTGCTAGTTGAAGGACAGTGTATGTCATTAAGTCTATGGTTTCTTCTTCAGACCGTGCTTAAGTACCTCTCCTTCTCTGAACTGACATTGGTTTTGGGAGCTGAAGCTGCAAGGGGTTTTGGGATTCTTTCAGTTCTGCAAGAAGATGGTATCTTCTACCCATAAACTCAAATCTACCAGCTGCTGCTTGGAAGCCCTATACAGGGTTGCAATGTGTCGGTTGCTGTAAGTTGACAGTACTTAACAACAAGAACCCATAAATTATGTATGATAAATAGAAATATGCTAGTTGTTTTCCAATAACACTTGAAAAAAAATGGTGTGCATGACCATAAGGTATAATTTCATTGTTTTGACTGCTACTTTGAAACATATTTTCAATGTTTTGTGCGGTTTTTTTTTTTTTGTTTTTGGTGGGAAAAATGAAAACTTTTAATTTAACTACTAGGAAAATAAATCACAGCCTTGAAACAGCAAACAGACAGGCTACATTATTACTTCAAGTAATGAGTTGGTAGAAAGGTGACCTTATCAAAATTAGGTGTCATTGAAGTTGGAACACTGCATACAGCAGAAGTGGTATTTGGAAGAAGCCGCTCCTCCTTAGCTTCAAAAGAGTCACAGCTCTCTCTAGCCCCTGAGTCACTTTTTCTCCCTTGGCTTTCATGTTGCTAACAGGGCTCTTATTGGTTAAATAAGCAGTTGGACATGTTATCAGGAAAGAGCAATCACTAGAAAAGGACATTATGTTTGGTAGAGGAACCCCTCAGTGAGACAGATTGCCATAGTGGAGTCAGCCATACCAATGATCATGAAGATGGCACAGGCCTGGAGAACATTGCGTTTGCTGATACATGCCAGGAGTTGGAGTCTACTTGATGGTAACTAACAACCACAAGAATAAGTAAGCAATACTGGGTTTGGGCTTTCATTTCGTTCTGGTCTATGAAAAACTAAGTCTTTTCAAATCCAGTTCAACTTTCTTAACTAAGCAGCCAACATTTTCTTTCACTGTTCATTTCCAGAGACTGGCATATATCACAATCAAAACCCCCTTTTCCTTCAAGGGGAAGAGTGTCACTGCAAGACTGTCTACTGCACACAGCCCCAGGGTCACCATGATAGGCAGTGGGAAGGAAGAGCAGTTTCCCATTTGCAGCCGTGACACTGCCTCTCATGTCTCCACACCGAAAGATGCAACATTTAAGAATGTTGACAGCCAGATGATGGCCAAAGAGCCTTTCAAAGTTCTTATCTATACCCTGTCTCCTAATGACATCAATTTCAAGTCCTTGTATAGAAAACACAGCCAAGCAAAGCAAAGACTCAGATATCTGTTTTTCCCACTTCTGAATTAGTGATCTTATAGATTTTGTTTTACAGCTTAGGGAATATCAGATGGTGGTATTTCTTGTAAACAGAAGGTTGGCAACAAACAGACATACCTCTTTACAAACTCCACCAGCTTATAGGCAGGTTGGAGGAGCCTGCCAGTCTGTTGGTACCAGAATACTAAGGAGAATCTGGTGCCTAGGAGGGCTCTGGTTTGGTAAAGCAAGGGAGATACCTACTACTAGCATATGCACTTGCCACACACAATTTACACTTGAAATAACTCTCTTGTGGTACCTCAGACCCAAATTTTAGCACCAGTTTTTCCCATTTTGCCTGCTGTGGTTTCAAACTTATAAAAGAACCAATAATTAGAGCAAGGAGACATGTTCCTAAAACTTCCTGCCATCATAAATTTTTTCATTCATAAACTTCACTTTTAAAAACCCAAATTTCCTTTCTTCATTTTCTGTAGATTCCTGCCCTTATCCGCAATGGCCACTGACGAAGACTTTTATTTTGCAGTGGATGAGAGAGACTCTTTCATCTTCTTGCTCATGGATGGAATGAGATGCATGTGGTCGTCCACACATTTGGTTGTCCACACATTTGGTCACACAGCTCTCTAGCTGCTGCTTCACCTGCAGCTCCTTACTCCCTGCATCCATTGAGTCTTTGGCTTTGTAGTTTCAAGACGTGGAACACCTGGCCAGGCGGTCCTGGAACCTCTCCAACTTACTGGTCACAAGGGTCTGTGCTTGAGCCAGCGGTGCATGGGCAGTGCTCAATGCACTGGTGCACCTGTTGTATGGATGCCTGGCTGCCCTCACAATGGTTGGCACTGCACCAAAACATGATGCCCTGCATCTTCCGGATGTTCTCTCTCTCCAGACTCTTCACCATGTGTCAACTGCCTGTTGCACACGGAACTGCTGCAGCTCCGCCATAGTGGCGCTGTGGCCCTTGGTGCCGGCACCCACCCAATGTTTTTTAATTGGTGAACATTTTAAAGTTTTTAAATTGGGAGATATTTTATACATTTAAATATACAAATACCACCCAGGTTTTTTCCTATTTAAAAAAACCTTTTTGTGAGTTGAGTGAAGGTTTACAGAACAGATCATCAGTCCCACATTCAACGGTCTACTTCGTGTCATTACAATGATTAGAATTCCTTGCAGTCCCTCTATTCGCTTTAAATCTTGCACTCCTCCTCTCTTTGTCTTCCACTTCCTTTATCTCTCTTCTGCCAACTTCCCTCTTGTTGCATATGGAAATACCCAGTTTTATCAACTTGATACTGCTTGCCTGGAGGAAAGCCAATTACTCAGAGCCAGGGTGTGATTAAGCAAGCAAGGTTTAATTTATATCAGATGTATAGGAGACAGACCTCCTCTAGGAGAAAGGGAAAGAGGATTTCTAAGGATTTTGGCTATGGACTTTATAGGGATGGTCCAAGGACTTTCAGGAACTTTAATGTTCTGCTTGTGTTGATCCCTCTGAAGAATTTTAGAAACTACTTTATTTCTAAAATAGACCTGGAGGTTAACTACTGATTAACCTGAAGGACAGTATAGACAAAGGTTAGCAGTAATGACCTCTCTCCTTACAAGATCAAATTGCTTCAGCCAGTTGCAGCTTCAAACTCTTCATTTTGCCTATGTGTTATAAATGTTTTTTCCCATAGTATGATGTCAGGAATAGTATTAGTCTCCCCTTTCTTCCCACAGTCTCAGTTTGGTGGTTAATCACTTCCATGCATATTTTATACTCATATTGTATACATATATATGTGTTGTTAAGTGCCATTGAGTCAGTTCCGACTCATAGTGACCCTTATAGAGTTTCCAAGGAGCAGCTGGTGGGTTTCAACCAGCAACCTTGCAGTTAGCAGTACATTGCTTTTCCTGCAGTGCCACAACAGGACTCCATATATATTAGTAATATAGAATACTATTTGGTCTTTTTTCAAATTTTATGTAAAGATATACTTAACATATTCTCTAACTGTGCAAGTTTTTTTTTTTTGCTTAAGTGTTTTTGCTATTTAGTTGGATACATGAGTTTTAGTTTATTCATCTTATCCTTTGACCAGAATTTATTAGTTTGTTCATCTGTTTATGGACATTCAAGTCTTTTTTGTTTTTTTTGACTAGTATAAATAGCACTTCATAAATCTTGTATTTTCTTACTTTAATTAATCATTAGTGTTATTTTGTAGTAACCCACTTCAAGTTAATGAACTTTATGTTTTTCTAAAGTGACCAGTTGAATTTTGTGCACAGTGCCTGAACATTGTTATAAATGAAACACTTTCATCCTCTCTTTCTTAATCATCCTCATAAGATAAGAAGCACACTTATTTTTAGAAGTACTTCCTGTGACAAAAGTTTTATTAGAATGAGTTGTTCTGTGTTTGATAAGGTTCTTATTGTTCATCTGTGTTCTTACTTTCAGACAGAATGTTGTTGCGGGATGTGAAAGCTCTCACCCTCCATTATGACCGCTATACTACTTCCCGCAGACTGGATCCCATCCCACAGTTGAAATGTGTTGGAGGCACAGCTGGATGTGATTCTTATACCCCCAAAGTCATCCAATGCCAGAACAAAGGCTGGGATGGCTATGATGTACAGGTAACATTCATTATTTTGATGGCAATCTAAATGGAATTTTTACTTAATGAAATGTCTTTTGGGATATTATTCATTGTCTTTGGGAAGCATATACAGAAAAATTCAGATTAATTTAGCAAAACAAACCAAAGCAAACTACTGCTGTCAAGTTGATTCCAACTGATGGTGACACTCTAGGGCAGAGGAGAAATGCTGCATGGGGTTTCTGAGACTGCAAGTCTCTAGAGGCAGACTGCCTCATCTTTCTCCCAGGGAGTGACTGTGACTTTGAATTACCTTGTGCTCAGTAACCCAGCACTTAATCTACTGCACCACCAGGGCTCCTTAACCTTAAAACGTATTGGTATAAATCAGTCACTTATTTTGTAGGTAAACACTCTTCAAAACAAATGAACTTATTTTAAATGCTGAAAACATTATCATTTTTGTTCCATGTCCTTGTTATAATGCATTAGTAAGTTTTCAAAACTTTTTATATACTCGAAGTAGGGGGAATTCTTCTAGTTGTCATTTCCTGATCATTCCTCAAAGAATACCAACCTATTCTTTTTGTGCATCGAGGCATTTTATTTGTATGTATTACGTCCCTAGAAAAAGAATCCCAGTATTTTCCCTTCTGTATGTTTTTGTCTTGCTTTTTTGTGGTCCATGATGCCAGCTGAGGTCATCAGTATAATGAAACCACCTTTCTTAATTTTAAATGAGGACATGGAACAAGGGATGTCATTGCTGACATCAGATACATCTTGACTGAAAGCAGAGAATACCAGAAAGATGTTTCTCTGTACTTTATTGACTATGCAAAGGCTTTCGACTGTGTGGATCATGACAAGCTATGGACAACATTGTGAAATATGAGTATTCCTGAATATTTTAATTGTGCTCATGAGGAACCTGTACATAGACCAAGAGGCAGTTGTTTAAACAGAATAAGGGAACACTGAATGGCTTAAAATTAGGAAAGGTGTGTGCCAGGGTTGCATTCTTTCACCACACTTATTCAGCATGTATGCTGAAAACCAATAATCAGAGAAGCTGGATTATATGGAGTAAAATGTGGCATCAGGATTGGAGGAAGGCTCATTAACAATCTACGATATGCAGATGATACAACCTTGCTTGCTGAAAGCCAAGAGGACTTAAAATACTTATTGATGAAGAAAAAAGACCACAGCCTTCAGTATGGGTTGCATCAGAATGTAAAGAAAACAAAAGTTCTCACCACTGGATCAATAAATAACATCCATATAAATGGAGAAAAGATTGAAGTTGTCAGTGACTTCGTTTTGCTTGGATCAACCATCAACACTCATGGAAGCAGCAGTCAAGAAATCAAATGACATATTCATTAGGCAAATCTGCTGCACAAGACCACTTTAAAGTGTTGAAAAGCAAAGATGTCAGTTTGAGGACTAAGGGACACCTGACATAAGCCATGGTATTTTCAGTAACCTCATATGCATGTGAAAGTTGGCTAGTGAATAAGGAAGACTGTAGAAGCATTAATGTACTTGAGTTATGGTGTTGGAGGAGAATATTGAAAATACCATGGACTGCCAAAACAACAAATAGATCTGTGTTGGAAGAAGGACAGCCAGAGTGCTCCTTGGAAGCCAGGAAGACCAGACTTCGTCTTTCATATTTCGGACATGTTGTCAGTCACTGAAGAAGGAGATCATGTTTGGTAAAGTGGAGGGTTAGAGAAAATGAGAACGACCCCCAATGAGATGGATTGGCACAGTGGCAGCCATCAGTGGACACAAATGCAGCAATGATTGTAAGGTTGGCCCAGAACTAGGTAGGGTTTTGTTCTTTTGTGCATAGGGTTGCTATGAGTTGGTGCTAACTTGATGGCACCTAACAACAGGAGCAATATGGTCCTGGTGTGGTGCTGTGGGTTAATGTGGTGGATTGCAAGGTCGGTTTGAACCGCAAGATTGGTGGTTCAAGCTCACCACCCGCTCCTTGGAAACCCTATATAGGGTCACAATGAATCGGAACTGACTTGAGGCTCTTAACAACAACAACAACATATGTCCTGCAGGCCAGCCATCCCCAATCTCTGCTCTAGCCCGTGAATAATTTTCCCTCCCCCAAGCATTGATTGTTTCTTTTATTAAGAAAACCTTTTTTGTAACTTTTTACAAATTGGTCTCATACAATATTTGCCCTTTTGTGATAGACTAATTTCACTTAGTATAATGTCCTCCAGGTTCCTCCATGTTGTGAGGTGTTTCATAGATTCATCATTGTTCTTCAAAATTGCATAGTATTTCACTGTATGGATGTATCAAAGTTTGTTTAACCGTTCTTCTGTTGGTGGGCATTTAGACTATCTCTTTTATTGATGTGTTTCTTGTAGACAGCATGTTGAAGGATCTTGTTTTCTTATCCATTTGGCTCTCTTGACTAGTGCATTTAATCCATTTACATTCGGTGTGATTATCGATAGGTATGAATTGATTGCTGTCATTTTGCTGTAGGTTCTTTTTTGATGCTGCTGGTTTCTTTGTTCCACATAATTTTCTGTGCTGAGTTCATTTCGTTTGTGGGTTTTCTTTTCATTTTATTCACGTCTGTTATGTTAATGTTTACTAAATCATTCTGATTTTCTTTTTAAAATTTTGATGTGCAGGTGTATGAATTTTATTTGAGGTTACCCTGTAATTTATTATTTTTTTCCACATTTAAAACCGTATGTTTTATCATGAAATCTACTTGTCTTCTTAGACATTTAGAAGTTCTGTATTTGTTTCATTCCCTCCTTTTGCTTTGTAGTTGACTTCATTATAAATTGGTATCTTTGGTTCCTTATTTTCAATCAAGTAGTTTTGTTTTACTTTAACTATTTCTGTATCTGGATTGAGTTTCTGGGTAGTGTTGTCATGTATGCTAAATTCAGATTGTTGTCTGCTGTAGTTGGTTCTTAGTCTAAAGAAGACCCTTTTGTACTTTTATAACGTTGGTCTGATCATTACAAATTCCTTTAATTTCTGTTTATCAGGAAATATCCGAATTTTGCCATTGTATTTGAAGGACAGTTTTGCTGGGATTTGAAGGACATTTTTGCTGGGCATAAGGTTTTGGTTGGCTTTTTTTTTTTTATCTTTCCGAGTTTTGTATATGTCGTCCTATTTTGCCTGCATGGTTTCTGCTGAGAAATCAGAGCTAAGACTTATTAGTTCTCCTTTATAGGTAACTTCTGTTTTTGCCTGAGCTACTCTCAGGATTCTTTCTTTTTCTTTGGTTTTGGAGTTTGATTCTCATATGTATTGGTGATTTTCTTTTGAGATCTATCCTGTTTGGGTTTCATCCAACTTCTTGTATGCTTATCATAAAGAATTCAAAAATTGGACCAATAATAACCAACATCAAGATAAGCAGAGAAAATACTTAAGTTTTCAAGTTTTTATTTTATCTGAATCCACAATCAACATCCAAGAAAGCAGCAATCAAGAAATCAAATAATACATTGCAGTAGGTAAATCTGCTGAAAATATCTCTTTAAAGTGTTAAGAAGCAAAGATGTCACTCTGAGGAATATGGTGAACCTGACCTAGGTCAGTGAAAAAGAGTAAGACACTCAACAAAATGGGGTGACACAGTGGCTGCAACAGTGGACTCAAACTTAGCAATGACTGTAAGGATGGCATAGGATCGGGCAGTGTTTCATTCTGTTGTACAGAGGGTCGCT